GCCCCCTGATCCACCATGGGGCCGGGTCACAGACCACCAGGGGGGGCCTTACCCCTGGAACTCCTCCAGGTATCCTTCGGGTATAGACCGTTGTTTAAAACAGTATTGTCTGGCACATTTTGGTTATAGCACGACTGAAGAATTGCTGCATATTTTTTGTATAACACTTTGTAAAATTAACACTATTCACGGGAGGGGAAAAAATTTTGGGGCGCGTTGCCCGCGGGATATGTTACAGTCCCTGCTAGGAATTTATATCTTTTTCTTGCAGTCATGGCACCCAGTAGGCATACAAGTGTTGCGAAAGTGGCAAGAAAAGGTTTAAGCGTTTAAGTCTTTAGAATTAACGAAGAAAATAGAGAATCACCTACCATCCCGACTTACGACCTCCTGCTTGACATACGACCACTCGACTTACGACCATGTTTTTTTATGCCAAATTTCTGTGAAATAAACAACTGTTTGTGTTGTACACAGTGTTTATCCAAACCTTGCAGTATAAAATCAGTACTAACACATCAAAAGTAAAGTAAAAAATGAAAATACCAAAATAAAACAATTAAATACATAAAGTCATTACAAAAATGTGATGTTGATATTCATAGTAAAGTTGACTTTCGTCCATTTTGATTTTTCGACTGGTTGGTTGGAACCAAGCTGGGTTGTAAGTCGGATGGTACCTGTACTAGACAAAATAGCCTGTAGCCGTAATGAAGCATCTCTTTGTGCACATAAAAAGAATTAGGTAAAATGTGAGTTTGTGTGATGACTGATTACTGATGACTTACTGACTAACTTGACTGACTTACTTTTGACTTGACTGGCTTACTGACTGACTTGACTGACTTACTGATTGACTGTATTACTGACTTACTGATTGACTGTATTACTGATGCACTGACTGACAGAAATTACTGATGCCCTGACTGACTTACTGACTGACTTGACTGATTTTACTGACTGACTTTACTGACTTACTGACTGACTTGACTGACTTACTGACTGACTTGACTGACTTACTGACTGACTTGACTGACTACTGACTGACTTACTGACTGACTGACTGACTTACTGACTGACATTGACTGACTTACGATTGACTGTATTACTGACTTACTGATTGACTGTATTACTGATGCACTGACTGACAGATACTGACTGACTTACTGACTTGATTGACTGTTTTACTGACTTGACTAATTTACTGACTTAGACTTTTTCACTGAAGAGGATCCTGAAATGTGTCTAGAGCAGCTGATGCCTTACGTCAGTTGTATAATGTACTGCCGGGTAAAATAGAACAGAAATCCATTACAAAATTTATGCACACTCCAGTACAACCATCGACTTCAGTACCAGAACCTCTACCATCCCACCTCAGCACAGTAGGGCCACAGCACAACTCTCCCACTTTCCACAATCTTTTACAAACACCAGCACCCAAAATTTTTAGCGTAAGAAATACATTATTCTGTTGTACTTGTAATCTTAACCTTTTTAGGGTCGGCAGGGCCTTACTAAATTTGTTCTCAGGGTCAAAAATTTTAAATAAAAAAAAAAAATTTCTTATGAAAATGATAGAGAATCTTTTCCTGATCATAATGATGCCAAAAGTATGAAATTAATGGAAAATTTAAAGGGAAATTTATGCTCTTACGAAGTTAGCGGTCTCGACGATGTTTATGCATCGGCGATTTCCCCCCTTTTTTGAGCCCTATGTTCGGCCAGTTCCAATGTACCATCGAAAAAATCATAACGTTTTTGCTAAACTTTAACTCCATTTTTTTCCTATTGAATGAGTACAAGAAACCACCCATTTTCCTATTTCAACTATAATAAAGTGGTCAGGAATTGGCAATTTTGCCAATTTCCCCACAAAGTTCAAAAGATTCAATTTCCAAATAGGGTCCAGAATAAACAAGACAGATACCTGGCACTAAAATAACATTTCCTCTGTTCATTAGTCAGTCCCCAGGCCTCTGTTACATTTTTTTTGCTTTCCACTTTGAATTTTTATTCTCACAAAAATAGAAAATTTACTGTTATGCAACTACTGCATTAGTGTAAAAATGGTATAAATAATATCAGCGCATTTGTGAAAGAATGTTAGACTCACCAGTTGACGTGTAAATTGGACGCATGACGTGATTTGTTTACTTTTGAACTTTTGGGAAAAAACGAACATTTCTGCTACTTTGAGCTCAATTTCAAGGTATTTTTCAGGTGAAACCAAACAAAATCATCTTAATTTCCGTAAAAATGTCTTCCATTCTTAAAATGAGACCAGGAAAACTAGAATACAACCATAAATAGTGTACAAAATACACTGCAAACTCACTGTTTTAAACCAAAAACACAGTCGGAGTTTTTTTTTTTCTCATGCACTGTGTGCGCAGGGTTTTTTTATACTACACACATTGACCATGTCGACCCATTCTTTTATATGTAGGCCTACCCCTTCTCTCACTAGATTTGAAGGTGCTAGAATTTATGCGTACTAGTACGGCACCAACCCTGGTGTGCAAGCCTACTATACGGCACCAACCCTGAAAAGGGGTTTAAAGGTACTTTTCCCTGGGGAAAACCAATCAAAATCATCTTAATTTCCCGTAATATTTTTCCATTCTATAAAATGAGACCAGGAAAACTAGAATACAAACCATAAATAGTGTACGAAACTACACTGCAAACTCACTGTTTTAAACCAAAAACACAGTCGGAAATTTTTTTTTTTTCTCAAGCCTGTGTGCTGCAGGATTTTTTTATACTACACACCCTTGACCATGTTCGACCCATTCTTTCATATGTAGGCCTACCAGCTTTCTCTCACTAGATTTGAGGTGCTAGAATTTATGCGTACTAGTACGGGGACCAACCCTGGTGTGCAAGCCGTACTAGTACGGCACCAACCCTGAAAGGGCTAAACAGTAAAAACAACATAATACATCACGACAGTGAACTACAATTACATATTCACTTTTTTTTTGTAAGATCTGAAAGCCGAAAAAAAAATTGTTTGGCTTTTTTTGGGGCTCCCAGAAACATAACCCTATTTTTCCCATAAGTTCTTCACTTTGCCTAACAAGATTTTAAATAAAACGGTGTTTTCAGGAATGTAACTACAGTGTTAAATGACGGTCTACTGTATATAAAATTTAACAAACAAAATGTTAGTCAGAGTTATTTTGAAATGGGATAATTTTTATGCAATAACTTTTTTTTTTTAGGTAGAGCCAGTCAGCATCAGAAACTCTCTGGCAAATGTACCAGAAAACAGCCCAGTAAAAGTAAAAGTGACAACGGAAGTGGTGTTGCTGATAACACTACTAATACTGGGTAATTCATTCTGCTGTATTTTTCTTCTCGTAACTTTTTATTCTTTGCACCATAGTACGTATTATGGCATGGCTCTGCAAAGACTGATTGTGTGAATGATGATGAAAGCATTTCTTTTTTGGGCCACCTTGCCTTGCTGGGAGAAGGCTGGTGTGTTAAAAAAAATGATAAAACAAAAAGTTATTTTTGTCATTAATGTTGCTCTAATTGGACTCTGTCATTGTCTCACATGCCTCCAGTGTCTTTGTTTTATGCTAATTACATGGTTTTATGACAGCTTAGATATTCAGTGAATATTGTTTTGTGAATATTTCTTGTATGAGTTGTATTGCAGCTGTATTGTACTGTATATAGGTTAGTATAGTACTGAAATGTAAAGATTAAAGTTTTTTTATTACCTATAGCAACTGATTTTATTATATTCATTCTCACAGCAAGGAAAAAGTGCAGGTAAAACGACCGACAACCAGGATTGTTCAGTCACGATTTAAAACTGCAGGTGCCATTTCAAAGGACAGCAGTGGCGGAAGTAATAGCAGTGGTAATAAATCCAACAGTGCTGGCTATAGTAGACTTCAGAAGAGTGGCCTCAACAATACTCTGACAACAAGTACATCCATTTTAGGGAAGAAACAAATTCAAAAACCAAAGCCTGTGAGGTAAGGAAAGATACAGGCTTTAGTTGCATGTTGAAGAAATATTGTGGATAAATGAAAGCACTTAACATTTCTCTTATACAGTCTTTGCAAAAAAAAAAATGGGGAAGGATGAATAAAACACACAAACAGTTTAATGAGGTTTACTAGCTAACTTAGAAAATACAAAACATCAGCATCTGGTCATTTGACTGTTTTCATTGAATATTTTCAAGTAGCAAAATTCCCATGGGAGTAGTATTAAAATAGTGTCTCAAATAATTTTTAATGAGCAGTGGACATTAAGCCAATACCTGTACATGATGCAGAAATGCTGTTGGGATGATGTTTTTATTATTACTTTTAGATATGTACAGCTTGTAAAATTTACTGTAAAAAAAACAATTTTATGAAATCCATATTAAGAAAATATTTCAAGAATTGACATAATTGAAACTGAATTGTTTCTGGCTTATGATGCCAACACTTTATATCTACTAACAGTATTTTGTCGGGTTTAAGGATTAGGGTGACATCGTTCGTCTCTGTAGCTTCTAACAGTCTGAGCTTGCATCACAGTAGCTTGTCAGTATAATTGTGAATCATATATACGTATTTGTTTTTTAATTTTCTGTTGATTTTGTCTAACTTGAGATTTATAAAGCAATGTAATTTTATTCAGTAGCTGATATATATGTGGTGAATAATTATGTATAATGGATTCAAACTGACTCTGTTTCACAGATCAACACATGCATCAAAACTTGGCCCCACAAGTCGATCTTCAAGTGTGCTAAAAATATCAGGATCAGGAAGTCAGGCTAGCCATCAAGGAGCTTCTCTTTTGCCACAAGCTAATCTAGAATCAAAATCAAATAAACTAGATGCAAAGAAGTCATCCAGGGCTTCATCTATACAGGCTAGCAATGCTAAATTACACTCTACTGTTCTAAATGCCACCATGCTCTCAATTTAACTGCTGTAAAGAATTATGAGAATGTTTTTCAGGTAAGTAATTACTCTTTTCTATTTTTTAACACATGCAGCCTCCTACCAAGGTAGTAACCAAAAAAGGAAACTACCATCATTCCTTCAGTAGCCATAAATGCACACATGACAATTCAAGTGACTTATCGAACTGCAACATCCCCACCCCTGTGGTGTGCAGACACTGTATATCCTACCTCTAGGATATAGTCTGGCTAACTGGTTTCCTCTAATTTTCCTTTCTCCCATTTCCATTACATGACATTTATTGAAATTAAATTCAGTCGTCCATTTTTTGCTTTAATGAAAAGGAGGCTGAAGGCAGCAGAGGTGCCATCTTTGAGAGCAGTGTGTGATATGAATATCATGCAGAGAATTCAGAGCATAAAAATCAAAAGAAAATGTGGAGTGACCAAGGGTATAATTCAGAGGGCTGAGGAGGCAGTGTCATGGTATGGGCATATAGAGAGGATGGAGAGGGAAAGGTTGGAGAGAATGTATAACTCTGGGGTGGAAGGGAAGAGAAAAAAGGGTCATCTCAGGAAATGGATGGAGGAAGGGGATACAAGAGGCTCTGAATTTTAGGGGTTTGAACATCTAACAGGCTTGTGTGAGTGTGTTAGATAAAAGTGCATGGAGACAAGTAGTTTTTAATAGGTGTGCTGTTGGAGGCAAGGTAACATTTTGAAGAGATTCTGGAAGACTGGTTAACCAGACTCGAGTCCTGGAGGTGGGAAAGAGCGGTGCCAGCATTCCGAAGAAGGGGTGGGAATGTTGCAATCAGAGGGTAATCTGACTGTGATGTCTGCACACTTCTGGAAAGATGGCAATTAAGTGAATATTGTCGAATGTGTTTTCTTCTCTGGGTCATCCTGTCTTGTTAGAAGATGGCTGTTGGGTTAAAAAAAAAAATGGTACTGTACATATAAAAAAATATTAATCTGTATAGTCCATTTTGGAGGCTTAATGCAGCTTATTGTGCTGTCAGTTTACATTTAAGTGAATGCCTGTGGTTGGTATCTCTTTGAGACCCAGTATTTGGCATCCTTCTCTTGGCAATAACTGAATCTAGGCTCCCCTGGTTTGTTTGGTTCATATTATTAATATGATGCATTAGCTGGAAATCCAGTATGTGAGTTTTAAATGTTATCTCTTAATAGTGTATGAACATTCTTCTGGAATGAGATATCACATTTAACAATTTTCATTAAAGTAGTGATTAGCTTTCTCTATCCTTCATTCATTTTAAAAGCTAATTTTTCCTGGACATCCTTTTGAGTGTATATTGCAGTGAAAGCAAATTTGCTTAGCGACCTGATGCTGTCAACCTGTTTACAAGTACAGTATAGTAACTGTCTTCAGGCAAGCCGGTCAAAACTGCGTCAGAATTTGTTTTAAAATACTATACTCATAAATTACCTTTTTACTTGAACTGGTGATGTTTTCACAAGTAGTATTTACTACACTTGATACCAATGAGGCATTTGTTAGAAGTGGGACCTTTTAGTTACAGTCCAAGCATCTGTGTAGATGGGCCAGACATAATTCAGGATTAAGTAAAATGTTTAACAGAATTCAGTTCAAATTTATACTGCTATATACATATATATATTTCATACCCTTGAATAGTTTTAAAGCTCTGAAAAGACTCTCACCATTTTGTGACATTAAGAAAATGTGTAAAACTTATAGGGCCTGAACCGGCGTCCTTGCAATTGAAAGTCTGCGACTACCATCTTTACCGCAGTGTAGGCTTTCCAGAATTTCTCTGTTACCCCTTTTATCTTTATTATGTTTTAGATCTATTCCTTTATAGTCCTCTTAAGCACAGCAGTCTTATTCAATTTTATAAATCCTGCATAATTTCTTTGTTCAAAGGGATCCTTTCAAATAAGGAAGGTGGGGTAAGGGTTGTCCCTGAAAAGGTTGGAGGGAGGGGGTAAAGGGGGTTTTGTGGGCGAGGGGCTTGGACTTCCAGCAAGCGTGCGTGTGCGTGTTAGATAGGAGTGAATGGAGATGAATGGTTTTTGGGATCTGACGAGCTGTTGGAGTGTGAGCAGGGTAATATATTTTGTGAAGGGATTCAGGGAAACCAGTTACCGGACTTGAGTCTTGGAAATGGGAAGCACAATGCCTGCACTTTAATTAAAGGAGGGGTTTAAGATATTGGCAGTCTGGAGGGATGTCTAAACTGTCGTATCTGAGTGCCTCTGCATGTTAAGAAGAAAAAATTATAATGCAGTATATAAAGGATAATGTTTAGTGCTCTACATTGTATAATTTATGTATCCTCAGCACTACACTGGTGGGAGGTTTGGCTCCTGGTGGTCGCAAGTTGGATATAACTGGAGTTGTCCTCCTGAGCTTCCTGATATATCTGCTATCAGGTTGGATAGTAACAGCAGTGGAAGTAAAACTGGCGATGCAACCATTCTCTCTTCTGTCAGCGAAAATGATTTGTCAGTAAGTCTTTTGGTCAACATAAATTTTGAATTTGTTAAAAATGCTAAGCATATTGGAATGAATTAAGATGTAGGCCAGCTCCTGTTGTTTCCTGGGAAGCTGGCAGTCATTCCTGTAGACATCCCATAAGGATTCCTCCATAACCACCACTGCAGGTCTTATATTATTTATGGTTTATTATACTGGCAAATGAGAATGAGACACACAGGCAACTCTTTGGTGTCTTTATTTGCCAGACTGTTTCACATGCACATCAGGCTTCTTTAGGTGAACAGAGCTGATTTAATACTAGAGAAAGTGGAAGAAGCAGAAACATAATTTTGAGGTGTTCACTCCCTTTTATGAAGGCTGAGGGACTGAAAACCTCAAAATTACCTCAATTTCTTTCAGTGTTTTGGCAGATAACAATACCCAAGTGTTGTGCATGTCTTGCTTAGATCCTAGCCTGTTGAAGTGTTGCCTTAGCTGCTGCTTCTCCTTACAGCTGCTACTATTTTGATGGCACTTGAAGTGAATGACCACACCTAAGCTTGGTGAATGGTCTGAGAGACCATGTATTGGGTGGCTTTTTTGGAAGGGAATTGTGATGGGAATAGTCTCTTCTTTAAACAAACTGGCCGTATCTCACCAAGGCAGGGTGGTTCAAAAAGAAAAACAAAAGTTTCTCTTTTTAAATTTAGTAATTTATACAGGAGAAGGGGTTACTAGCCTCTTGCTCCTGGCATTTTAGTCGCCTCTTACAACATGCATAGCTTACGGAGGAAGAATTCTGTTCCACTTTCCCATGGAGATAAGATAAAATAAACAAAAATAAGAACTAGAAAAAAATAGAAGAAAACCCAAAGGAGTGTGTATATATACATGTATATGCTTGTACATGTGTGTGTAGTGTGACCTAAGTGTAAGTAGAAGTAGCAAGACGAACCTGAAATCTTGCACGTTTATAAGATGGAAAAAAGGACACCAGCAATCCTACCATCATGTAAAACAATTACAGGCTTTCATTTTACACTTGCTTGGCAGGACTGTAGTACCTCCCTGGGTGGTTGTTGTCTACCAACCTGCTGCCTAGAAGGAATAGTGTCATCCTTGCAATTTTCACCCCAAGTGGGTTCTGCCCTCTGTTCTTGGACATTCTGTCCATGTACAAGCCTCTGCTGTGGAATAGGTCCCCCCACAGCTGTACACTAGCTGTGTGTTGTGCTTGTTAGCTGTATTGTCAGATGCAACTTGTAGACCTCTGTGAGCTTGTATTTCATTCCTATTTCTCTGCTATATTTTTTCACTTTGGCCAGTTATTGTGGTTACATGAGCATCTCTTACTGATACTGTCATGTGCTAATTTTCTTTCATAAGAATCCAAGAACATTACAGCCAGTCCTGATGTACAGTGGACCCCCGCTTAACGATCACCTCCCAATGCGACCAATTATGTAAGTGTATTTATGTAAGTGCGTTTGTACGTGTATGTTTGGGGGTCTGAAATGGACTAATCTACTTCACAATATTCCTTATGGGAACAAATTCGGTCAGTACTGGCACCTGAACATACTTCTGGAATGAAAAAATATCGTTAACCAGGGGTCCACTGTATACACGTGTCAAAAACTACGAAGTGTTGATTTTACAATATTCTGTTAGGTCAAAGACCCTTCCAGTCAGTGCTTCTCCTCACTCTTGAACTAATGTATATCCTGTCCTCATGGCTCTTCAACATCTAGTGATGTCTACTTCATTGGTGGTAGCCCCATCGGATTCTCAGTTTTGTATGGGCAGTGAAGGCCAGGCTCGTGCTACAATTCATACCATGAGCAGGCTAAGTGTTGTAATTGGAAGTTCACTATTCTAACCCAGTTATGGTAGGTCCTAACTAGCACCTCAAATTTGCAGTTTACTCATGCCCTTCGAGGGGGTGCATTGTACAAGATTTCTATCCTTTCTCAACCACAAAATATGCTGATTGATTAAAATAATGGCTGATTTTTTAAAATTAAGTACTGTATATGGGGATTCAGGGAAACCTGTTATTTTTATATAGCCGGACTTGAGTCCTGGAAATGGGAAGTACAATGCCTGCACTTTAAAGGAGGGGTTTGGGATATTGGCAGTTTGAAGGAATATGTTGTGTATCTTTATACATATATGCTTCTAAACTGTTGTGTTCTGAGCACCTCTGCAAAAACAATGATTATGTGTGAGTGAAGTGAAAGTGTTGAATGATGATGAAAGTATTTTCTCTTTGGGGATTTTCTTTCTTTTTGGTCACCCTGCTTCGGTGGGAGACAGCCGACTTGTTAAAAAAAAAAAAATTACATAACTGTTGTACCTTTATGTGCTTGTAATACTGGATGCTCGGTTATTGATTGTTTTGTTAATTTTTTTTAATATTTATTTTATTTTTTTATTTTTTCAACAAGTCGGCCGTCTCCCACCAAGGCAGAAAATACTTTCATCATCATTCAACACTTTCACCTCACTCACACATAATCAGTTTTTGCAGAGGTGCCCAGAATACAACAGTTTAGAAGTATATATGTATAAAAATACACAGTATATCCCTCCAAATTGCCAATACAGTGGACCCCCGGTTAACGATTTTTTTTCACTCCAGAAGTATGTTCAGGTGCCAGTACTGACCGAATTTGTTCCCATAAGAAATATTGTGAAGTAGATTAGTCCATTTCAGACCCCCAAACATACACGTACAAACGCACTTACATAAATACACTTACATAATTGGTCGCATTCGGAGGTAATCATTATGCGGGGGTCCACTGTATTTATATCTGAATGTTTTCGGATATTTAGGAGTTGACGTGTCAGCGGATGGATTTATGAAGGATGAGGTTAATCGTAGAATTGATGAAAGAAAAAAGGCTAGGGGTGCGTTGAGGTATATGTGGAGACAAAAATGTTATCATGGAGGCAGAGAAGTGAATGTATGAAAGTATGGTAGTACCAACACTCTTATATGGGTGTGAAACTTGGGTTGTAAATGCTTCAGCAAGGAGGCAGTTGGAGGCAGTGGAGATGTCCTGTCTAAGGGCAATGTGTGGTGTGAATATTATAAAAGAAAATTTGTGAGTGTGGAAATTAGGAGGTGTAGAGTTAATAAATGTATAGACAGGGGGCTGAAGAGGGGTTCTTGAGGTGGTTTGGTCATTTAGAGAGAATGGATCAAAGTAGAATGACATGGAGAGCCTATAAATCTGTAGGGGAAGGAAGGTGGGGTAGGGGTTGTCCTTGAAAAGGTTGGAGGGAGGGATTAAAGGAGGTTTTGTGGGTGAGGGGCTTGGACTTCCAGCAAGCGTGCATGAGCATGTTAGATAGGAGTGAATGGAGACAAATGGTATTTGGGACCTGACGAGCTGTTGGAGTGTGAGCAGGGTAATATTTAGTGGAGGGATTCAGGGAAACCAGTTATTTTTATATAGCCAGACTAAGTCCTGGAAATGGGAAGTACAATGCCTGCACTTTAAAGGAGGGGTTTGGGATATTGGCAGTTTGGAGGGATATGTTGTGTATCTTTTTACGTACATGCTTCTGAACTGTTGTATTCTGAGCGCCTCTGCAAAGACAGTGATTGTGTGTGGGTGGGGTGAAGGTGTTGAGTGGTTATGAAAGTATTTTCTTTTTGGGAATTTTCTTTATTTTTTGGGTCACCCTGCCTTGGTGGGAGACGGCCGACTTGTTGAGGAAAAAAAAAATCCTGTATTTATCAAAATATATATAAAATTGTTTTACAGCAAAACAGTGGCAGCAGCATTTTTCATGAAGTTACTACAGAGGAGTTAGAGAAGGAATACATGAGTTACCTACAGTGGGCCTATGTTGATACTTACAGTGAAGATGCCTTCAATGTTCAACTTAAAAATGCACAGGTATGACTTTATTTTTAATTTTTTGCTGTTTTAATTCCTTGTAGAATCTGCATTCATAAATATAATTCCATCATAATCATCCTACTTCGGGGTGAACCATCAATGTGGTAAAAAATTATATGTTCACTTAATTTAAAATTTTTTTAAAATTCTGAAAATTTTTGTAGTGTTTTAGTTAGTACAATACGTTATTAGAAATGAGTTAATTCATAACAATAACTCACTCCTGCTTGTCCCTTCTCTGACTTTAATATTGAGTGCAAATCTGTTATATTTTTGATAAGGTTAACCCTTTGGCTGTTTCAGCCATATATATACGTCTTACGAGGTAACGTGTTTGACGTATATATACCCATAAATTTTAGCGGCTTCAAATCGAGCAGGAGAAAGCTGGTAGGCCCACATGTGAGAGAATGGGTCTGTGTGGTCAGTTTACCTGGAGTTTACCTGGAGAGAGTTCCGGGGGTCAACGCCCCCGCGGCCTGGTCTGTGACCAGGCCTCCTGGTGGATCAGAGCCTGATCAACCAGGCTGTTGCTGCTGGCTGCACGCAAACCAACGTACGAGCCACAGCCCGGCTGATCAGGAACTGACTTTAGGTGCTTGTCCAGTGCCAGCTTGAAGACTGCCAGGGGTCTGTTGGTAATCCCCCTTATGTGTGCTGGGAGGCAGTTGAACAGTCTCGGGCCCCTGACACTTATTGTATGGTCTCTTAATGTGCTAGTGACACCCCTGCTTTTCATTGGGGGGATGGTGCATCGTCTGCCAAGTGTGCACCATATAAAAAAAATCCTGGAGCACGCAGTGCATAATGAGAAAAAAAAAACTGAACATTTTTTTAATTAAAATGCCAACTTTGTGGTCTATTTCTGTACAGTATTTATGATTGTATTCTCGTTTTTTTAGTCTCAGTTGATAGAATGGAAAACATATTATAGAAATAGAGGTGATTTTGATTGGTTTTACTATAAAAAGAACCTTGAAATGGAGCTCAAAGTAGGGGAAATGTTTGATTTTTACCAGTGTTCAAAAGTAAACAAATAAATGTCCAACTAGCCATTCTAATATGCAGTCATGAATGGGTTGACATTATTTGTACAATTATTACAATATTGCAGTAGTCTGCATAACACTAAATCTTCTATTTTTTGTTTGAATAAAAATTCAAAATAGAAAGCAAGAGTAATATCAGAGGGGCCTGGAGATGTGACTGATGAGCCAGGAATGTCTGCATTGTTCATTCTGGACCTTATTTTGAAATTGTCACATTTTTTAATTTTCGTGAAATTGGCCAAATTGCAAATTTCTGGCCACATTATTGGGTAGTTGAAATCGGTAAATGGGCAGTTTCTTGTACTCAATCAATAGAAAAAATGGAGTTCTAAAGAAATAGCTATGAGTTTGGTCCACTGGAACAATGGAATTAGCTGAAAATAGGGCTCAAATTGGGCGAAATCGCCAATTTGTTAATATCACCGAGGTCGCTAACTTCGCGAGAGCGTAATTCCGTCAGTTTTCCATCAAATTTCGTTTTTTTTTTTTGGTGTCATTACAATTGGGAAAAGATTCTCTATCATTTCATAAGAAAAAATGATTTTTTTTTTTTTTTTGAAATTTTGCGACACCAGGAGACACCTCAGGATTGGGGGTCGCGACAGTCAAAGGGTTAAGATAGTTCAGTGGTCTTAGTAATAATTGTGATAGTTCAATGGCCTTGGTAATAATGGTGATGAGCATTATGCAACTGTCTACACATTATCAATGTCATTAACCCTTAAACTGTCCAAACGTAGATCTACGTTCACATGTGTAGCACTCTGAACGTAGATCTACTTTTTTTTACATGCTTTCAAATGGAGAAAATTATGGCTGGAGCGCTATGCGCGTGAACATAGATCTATGTTTGGACAGTTTAAGAGTTAATTGGGAACCTTCTCACTTATATTTTCTTCTATATTAGAACACATCCACTGTGGTCATCATTGCTAGATTTTTTTTAATGCTGGCCATCTCACACCGAGGTAGGGTGGCCCAAAAAAAAAGAAAGAAATACTTTCACTATCTTTCACACATAATCAGTCTTTGCAAAGATGCATAGATACAGCAGTTTAGATGTCACTCCAAACAGCAGATATCCCAAACCCTTCTTTAAAGTGCAGCCATTGCACTTCCCACAGATAAGAATCTGTACATCCTGGATTTGTGCAGACATTGTAACTGTAGCAAGTGCAGTAGTTGTTAAAATGCCAAGAATGAAAAGATAAAGATTAAGAACTGAGAAATTAATGGCCTAAAATATAGTAATTAAGGAAATGGTACAGATAATTTATGTACAGTTGGCCATCGATTAACACAGTCATGTTCCTGAAATGGTGTGTATTAAAAAAAGGCATGTTAAATTAACTGAAGAATATATGGGAAAAATAGGGTTACAAACCTTAGACCCCCAAAAATGGCAGGTTTTAAAGCATTGTAATTTATCATGGCTCAAAAATAATAAAGTTTCTATCCATTACATTATGGTTGTCATTGCTTGTTGATGCAAAACGTGTGGGGAGGATTGATGTGACCCTGTACAATACTTGTGCAAGCATATGACAGGCAGTTCCATAATTATCATCTGCCTCCACAGTCACCTGGGGGGGGAAAAATATTATTGTCCCATAAGACAAGATTTTTCAGCAAATAAATATTCTCAAGGTAATACCCACCATAATATGAGTACCAGCTAGCCCAAAAGCTGTGAAAAATGAGCAAAATAACTAAACTCAGATTATCACCATGTCCTGTTGTTATGGGTGGGTTTAAGAATTTCAACAACTCAGGGTCTGTATGTCCATCTTATTGCTGTTGTCATTGTTGGTTTTAAAGGTTATGATGACCTGAGGGTCTATGTCCATCTCATGGTGTATTATTATTATTATAATCAAAAGGAAACGCTTAACCTACCAGGGTCATACAGCACTGCAGGGTAGGAATTGATGCAGGATCTAAGGATAAATGAGGGTGGAGATGACAATAAAGGTAAAGTTAGGAGGGGCTGTGAGGAGTGCTAAAGGAAGGATTATCAAAGTTTGTGTAATAAATCAATTGCTATCAAAAAGTCACCTCTTCAAGGGGGGCTCCTTGGCGTGGTGAAGAGGCTCTTGGTCTGAGGAATTAGCCGTCGGTCTTCTTCCTCAGACCGAACCTAATTACCCCCCATTCTCCCCTCCCCTATCCCATCCTCCCCATCCTCCCCTTTTTCCATTCCTCCTCCTCCTCCTCACCCCTCCCTTTTGCCCTTCCTCTTTTTAGCCCTTCGGTTTCTCCCACAGCGCGAGTTC